TGTAGAACACACAACACTGAAAAAAGGCAAGCACACTTACGATGACACTTACTTTATTGAAGATCTGGTGATGATTGATGGGATGGGAGGAGAGGGAGAGAGAGTGTTAGTGTTTAGAACGGAATCCCCTTCCATTAAGAACTTGAGTGTCGAGTCCCCTTTTCTGGGGTTACTTTCCCCTCTTCTTTTAATGCCACTAGGACCATCTCATCTAAGAGAGTCGACTTGTACTTACTCTCTTTCGCACAACATATCTGTCCAAAGTGGCCTTGTAACGCTCTTCGTCCTTATGACTTCCCTAAAGTGTTTCACACATGTTTCAGTGTAATGAAATCAACATCAAGCTTGTCAATAGCTGTGTGAGTGTGATTTTCAATCAAAAAAGGTAATGCACTTCAAGCACTTTGCACACATTTCCTTAATCCCCTTTGTAGTAGGCACCTTCTTCATTTCTCTCTCACCCCTCCTCTGAACCAGTTTTCTCAGGTCTGGCCTCTTGCTCTTGAAGTTGATCTATCAACCATCAGTGTTAGTTCGTTCATTGTCCCCCCACCAACTCTTCCACATCCTCCCCCTAACCTCCCACCCAAGGACTTTTTCCCAATGCCACAATGGATTTCCTCCAAACATGGCTATTCCTCTCAGGGTTAGCCTCAAACCCTTCAAAATTCCCTTTTGTCTACACATTCACTGGCCACAGGTTTCTTGTCCAAGCAGAAGTTCAAGGTCTTCTTATCACTCCCTCCCAAGCCTTACCTATAAGTTTACACATTGGAGGATATTAAAAGTGCTCTCTTCCAAACTCTCTTAAGTCATTTGAGTTCTGAGGTCATACAAAGCACCTTTCAAACAGAGCTTTTGTGTACAGTTTTTTTGAAGTTTGCATAACCTGCTGGTCCATGGGCTGCAGGAGAGGAGTGGTATTAGGAGGGCAAAAACTTGATGTTAATGAATTTCATGTCCCCATAAAGTCGCTCTGCCACGTCTGTAGGATGACCAGGGGCATTGTCTAACACCAGGAGGCACTTAAGTTCTAATTTCTTTTCAGTTAGGTAATCTTTCACATTGGGGGCAAATGCATGGTGTAACCAGTCATAGAAAAAGTCACTAGTGACCCATGCCTTACTGTTTGCCCTCCACAGCACACACAAATTCTCCTTGAGGACATTCTTTTGCCTGAACGGTCTGGGAGTTTCAGAGTGATACACTAACCCTTTCAGGGTCCGTCCCGTAGATCTACGGCTGGTCGGTGAGTGTCCAAACCGTAGATCTACGCCAAAAATCTAGCGCCGTCAAAATTAGCGCGAAAGCGCTCATAGGCCTACATATGAGAGAATGGGTCTGCGCCGTGGGTGTGCGCCATAAACAAAAAATCTAGGCGCCTGCATAGCATGTGTGGAACGCCGGCTCAGTCACCCTTGTTCACCATGCGTCGTCGCAAGTCAGCTCTCACTCCCGCCCGGAAAATTGGGACTCTCCTCTTCCTGTCTGATAGTTCTGAACACTGATGGAAGTGGAAATGAAGGACGAATTCTACGGCTATTGATAGTTCGTTACGCGAAAATAATGACCAGGATACGATAATAGTGCAGAAAACCCCGACGATCCTCACCTTCTACCTCTGGTGTGGGCACCTCGTGGACTCACGGTCGGGTGTTTCCTAAACGTAAGAGAAAACTAATATTTCCCGTGGGGGGCCCTGGCCTCTGACTTCAGTAATGACGATGATTCTGACGTGGATTGTTGATTTTCCTGTGCCGACGAATCATTGAGTAGTGATAGTGAGGAAACATATTTCTCACACAGTGAAGCGTCGGTTGTTCGCCGCCTCATGCGCTCGGTAGTGTACCCTATGCTTGGTGCCAGGTGAGTGGAGTACATCCGGAGTACATCCGAGTACATCCCGGAGTACATCACGGATACACCCGGTTGGCCCTACCACTGTTTTTAGGAGTGATAGTGAGGATGAATGTGCTAGGTGGCTACACTTGCATGGATGGCCACAGACATCAGTGTATGGTGTTAGTGGGGCTGGTGGTGGTAGTGGCACCGCCATGCGTGACTGACTGTCCACCGGGGACCCATCGCTGCTGACTCGTTCAGTTCAAAGGACAAAGCGGAGCGTCACCTCACCAGCCCGCCACAACCACCGTACAACCAGCCCTATGATTGTCCAGTATCCACCAGCAAACCGTAATCTGAGGATTGGCAGCAAATCCCAATTTGTTCCCCAGCCCTCACCACTTTGATGACTCTCAAAGAGGAATCTACCTACCTGTCCCCTTGGAACCACGGCCAATAACTGGAATTCTTTGAATTATTCTTTGACACCAGGCCATTGGGAAATTATTGTCAGGGAAAGTAATAAGTATTTTCAGTACAACCATGGCCCCAATACTACTTATACCACAGTCAAGACTACACGGTGGAAAGAGGACGGACTGTTTGCAGAAATGTATTTGCTTTTTGGCAACTATAAATGCTTATGCCTCACGTCTATAAGCATATTATAAAAGCATACTGGTCCACAGATCATCTAATTTGTACCCCATGCCTTCAGGTGAAATAATACAGTGAAACAGGTTTATCTTACTGTTACGTCTGTTGCCACTTCTCTGACAAAAACCAGGCTGACAGAAGTGACAGGTATACAAGATTAGAAATGTTTTTCATTATCTCAAACAAAAGTTCAGGATATACTTTTATCCATTATAAGAATCTTGTAATTGACGAGTCCATTGAATTCGGTTCAAATTAGACTGTCATTCAAGCAGTATAATACCGCAGCAAGAGGAACCAGCTTTGGTATAAAATTTGTTTGTACTTGTGATTGTGACAGTCGCCTGGTGTTGGATATTGTTTTATACACGGGTAGTAAAACATTGAACATATACCAAAGATGTTATTGTATATCAGGGACGTAGTGAGAAACATATGCACCATAATCTTGGTAAGGTCCATACATTATAACCTATAACTGGTACACAAGCCCCATTACTCAGGTGATTTCATGTGAGTGAACAAAGACAGATGTGTGTGGCACAGTGCGTTCTACTCGTTAAACATATGCCCAGGCTCAACGCAGGTGTCGTGGGTGAAGACGTGGCAGGTGTTTTACTGCCAATGAACATCCATGGCATTACGGTGGCATGACAACGAAATTGTCACATTGTTGCCAACCCATTCACCGTAATGTACTGCAAGACAGTGCAAAAGTTTGATCGAGTGACTAATGAACGTATTCGAAAACCAGTGACAGTGATTGATATACACAAAACATGCGCTAGGTTGACATGTGACATGCAGATTGGTTTTTGTTTGACTGTGTTCGTAAGAGTATACAAGTGTTACATGAAACCTTTTCTTCCATCTCATTGGACATTTCAATTGCTGAATTGCATATAATATGTACCAAATAAAAACTGGTCCAGACAGACACTCACCGTATGGTGAATTTTTGTTTGTCTGTATGTCAGACAACCATAATGAAGTACCAGGTACAACACCTGCAATACTAACATGGTCCTCGAATTCATCACAATATCCCAAGCGTGTTGAGAGAGAAATGTGATCATTTCATAATACAGCTTCTTCAACTCAAAAAAAGAAATTTGCTAAAAGAAGATGCATTGTCTGTGCACAAACAAAACGGCGGCACAAAGACGCAAAGACCACTCGGTTATGTGTGGAGGAAGTTAAGGTGCCTCTGTGCATGTGCCTTGTTTCAAGGAGTTCCACAAGCTCCAGCAAGGTTCTAAAACCATGTCCCAGTGATTGTAAATATGTAAATATATGGAATAGAACATTAGTATTATACAATATTTTGCATGTTTATTGTAATAAACAACAGTGGTAAAACAATAGATAATAACTTTAGTGCGGTATTAGTTTCAATACAGTGAGTAATATATATCGAATTTATATACAGTATTCGTCTCTCAGTTCCAAATGTTAGTAGAATAGAAAAAAATTGGAAAAGAAAAGAAAAAACAACTAAAACAACAAAATAAATAATATGCGTATGTGGAATTCGTCGATGTTGCCGCCACCACATCATTTTCTACAAACTTCTTGGCACTGTATCTCGGTAAGTACTGATCAGATTCTAATTTTTTTTTGTTTTATTACCTTCACAAAAATATGCTCTTAATTCGTAAGAAAAAATAATTTTTGTTTTTTTTCAAAATTTCTTGGACACTGGTGCGTGACTTCAGATTTTGGCCTTGGACCCTGAAAGGGCTAATAAAGGCTTAACTTTGCAATCACCACTAGCATTGGAACACATCAACAAAGTAAGCCTGTCTTTCCATAGGCTATGTCCTGGGAGTGCCTTTTCCTCCTGAGTAATGTAGGTCCTGCTTGGCATTTTCTTCCAAAACAGGCCTGTTTCATCACAATTAAACACTTGTTCAGGTTTCAGTCCTTCAGTCTCTATGTACTCCTTGAATTCATGCACATATTTTTCAGCCGCTTTGTGGTCCGAACTGCAGCCTCACCATGCCTTATCACACTATGTATGCCACCAATACGCTTCTTAAATTCTCTCAAAACCAACCTTTTGCTGGGCCTTAAATTCACTAGACACATCAGCACTAGTTGCAGGCATGTTTTTTAATTAAATCCTGATGCAACTTTCCCTAGCCTTTTCGATTATGATTGTCTTTGATGAGATGCTATCTCGCTAGCTTGTTTTCATTTATCCACACCAATAAGATTCCTCTCACTCTTCCATCACTTGCGATCTTTGTTTCGAAACACAGTTAAACCTTTGGCAAGACCAGCTCACCTTGATATGCCTTTCTGGTGCCCACAATAGTACGATGGTTGATTGGGGTTTCTTGTACAACCTGACCAGATCGCGATACGCACTCCACTTTCATACTTATCACATGATCTCTTTCTTCATTTCAATTGGAATTCTCAACCCTTAATTGATGTAGGGGTTGGCACTAGAAAGCTTTCCTTGGGGCCCATGGTCACTTATTTTCCAGAAACAGCACCGAAAACACTGTAATAATACGAAATATTCCGATTGTATGCTTGGATGTTACCGCGGAGGCTGGCTGGTAAACAATGGCACGGGTGGCACATGTGAGGCTGGCTGAGGGCGCACATTGGACGCGTCTCGGACGAAAATCGGTGAGCGGGTTTTTAAGCGGTATGCGAGGCAAAATTTTTGCGATTAAAGCAAGCGGTATGCGGATTAATCATTATGTGGTGCCATCGGTATGAGGGGGTCCACTGTAATAATAAATGGAGAAAAAGAAATTGGAATGACTTATGCAGCAAGTAGCGCCACCAAACAGTACCAGCAGGTTTGTGTGGCGACCCTGGAAATTTGAAATTACGTTACCAAAATTAGTGCTGAGTAACTGAAGGGACTGAATAACTGATTTCCGGATTTGTGATGGCGGACCTGTACCTGCATATTCAGGTAATATAGAGACCTGGTTCAACCTGAAAGATAGAGAAATGCCTTCTGAATACCACATACAAGGCTATAAACTATTCCACACTATATGGGTAGTTTTTGCCCTTCAATCAGTCCCTTGTCATAGGGAAAATCATGTTGATAGTTTCCTTTTTCTCTGGTGCACTTGTATAAAAAAAATAATCAATCTGATCTAAAAAAGCATTTAGCCAGAAAGCTCCTTATCTTTGAGAACAACATACCACACACAAAATTAACAACACCAAAGAAGTCCCGGTAGAGAAGGCGAGCCATCTGTACGGTCACTAACCATCCCAGATCCTTCGAAGTGTTCACTACCCTCCCTTCCAACAACTCTGTTACACTCTCATCACTTCCAACCCTATACTGATAGTTTTTGAACACTGAGTATGAAAATAAAAGTCTGAGGAGTACGATCTTTACAATAGTTTGATTAGAAGCTCTAAGAGATGGAATGCCAACCAATGCTGATAATTCATTAATGTAGTTCATCTGCCTCTCCAATCCCAGCCTGTGGAAATGTCTGTCCTCGTAACCCAGGCGGTGATGCTGATGGAGCTCAGAAGACATGGCAGCATCCATTTCCTCATGCGATGGCAAAGTAACCTCCCCTCGTAGCACTGCCATGTAGTACTGAACCTGTATAAAAATTAATTTCACTGCATTAAAGATCACTTATGGCCTGAAAAATATAATGCACTTGTTTTACAACACAAACCACTTTTTGCCCATTAATTAGTATTTTACATAAATAATCAGCACAAAGAAGAGAGAAACTTACAACAATGCTTCGGTCCGTCTTGGACCATTTACAAAGTGACACAAACATGACTGATAGAGGGAGCCTGTATATATAGGTGAGTAAACAGGGACAGGACTTTGTAAATGATCCAAGATGGACCAAAACATTGCAATAAGCTTTTCTCTTCTACGTATGAGTTATGTGTGTATTGTTCCAGTCACGGTATTGTGCTTTTTTGTTCTTTAATTGGCATTTTATTTAAAAAAAAGCACTAAACTCGTGAAGGTAATTCACGTACTCTTTTTCTGAAACACTGATCGAAGTTTCCTACCAAGTTAGGACAACTTAAAAGAATGAAACACATTCACCTTCTCTTACTCAATACCTGTCTTGCTAAAAGTGAATGGGCGCCAAAAAACGATTGAAACACTGACGGGCAATGTCCACACCCAATGTACAGTATAGTGGACCCCCGAGTTTCATGATTAATCTGTTCCAGAGAGTCCGCCAAAAGGCAAAATTCACGGTTGGCGAATCCATTGTCCCCATAAGAAATAATGGAAATCCAATTAATCTGTTTCAGACCAAAAGTATTAACAAAAAATATTTTTTTTCATAAACTAAAGATTTACAGTACATACAGGAAACAATGAGACATCAAGTATAAAACAATAATATCACACTTACCTTTACTGAAGGCTCTTGTTGGTGTATGAATAAAATGTCATTACGGATGTTAGGAATTGTGGCGGAGGCAGGAGCGTCTTTGGACACAGGACAAGATAGTCCTTCAATATGACACTAATATCAACTCTACGGCTTGTTTATCTATCACAATTCATCTGACATAATAAACAACATTAATAACATAGAAACACGACATATGAATAAAATATACATTATGTAGGCCACATGTGCTGTTGTGTTGTGTTGTTGTTGGGTGTATAAGGGCCACTGAAAGATAAGCCTTACATAGTGGTGGTGAATGGCAGCAGCAGAGATGGAGGTGTTAGTCAGTCGCCCTATATACTTCAAACAACAATGGAGGAGTTAAGTTTTGTGTCGTCATTTTTCTATCAGTAAATGACTTAACTTACTTGCTACACTGTTAATGTTACACTTTATCGCTGGCTGGCACTAAAGTCTTTATCGACTCTTGCTGCTTTAGTATCGTAACATATCATAGAATCACTGAAGAAGGCACATTCTCCCCTCTCTCTCAGCCCTTTACCAAAGGGCTGGCACTAGAAACTTTCTTTGGGCCCATGGTGGCTTATATAACAGTTGCAAGCACACAAACGAATAGAATATATCTTATGAACGCGTGAGGTGATGGTCACTCACCCATAAACAATGCCACACTGACTGTGGTGTGGGAGGGAGGCTGGCTTTATTTGTGGGCTGACATTGGGAGAAGGGCCAGACGCATACCTTACCGCCACTGTATCACGAATAAAATCATGAACCGTGAGTTTATTTTTTGCCGAAAAATGGCACTGAAAGGCGAAATTCATGAAATACAATGCCACTGAAACTCGGGGGTCAACTGTACATAAACCATTACTCTTCTTCCCAAGATATTGCAAGACTAAGTGTTAAACACAAGAGCTATGGCATGCTAACACTTCTTTTTTTATCACACAGGAAAACAAATCATACCTTCCTGCATTAACTAAATGTCTATCATACCTGCTGGGTTACCAAATGGGAAGAGACCCGGGCCGGGATCCATACCAGCAAATCATCTAGAATAGTCTGGAGTTTACCTGGAGAGAGTTCCGGGGATAAACGGCCCCGCGGCCCGGTCTGTGACCAGGCCTCCTGGTGGATCAGAGCCTGATCAACCAGGCTGTTACTGCTGGCTGCACGCAAACCAACGTACGAGCCACAGCCCGGCTGGTCAGGTACCAACTTTAGGTGCTTGTCCAGTGCCAGCTTGAAGACTGCCAGGGGTCTATTGGTAATCCCCCTAATGTATGCTGGGAGGCAGTTGAACAGTCTCGAGCCCCTTACACTTATTGTATGGTCTCTTAACGTGCTAGTGACACCCCTGCTTTTCATTGGGGGGATGCTGCATCGTCTGCCAAGTCTTTTGCTTTCGTTGTGAGTGATTTTTGTGTGCAAGTTCGGTACTAGTCCCTCTAGGATTTTCCAGGTGTATATAATCATGTATCTCTCCCGCCTGCGTTCCAGGGAATAGAGGTTCAGGAACTTCAAGCGCTCCCAGTAATTGAGGTGTTTTATCTCCGTTATGCGCACCGTGAAGGTTCTCTGTACATTTTCTAGGTCAGCAATTTCACCTAGAAAATGTACAGAGAACCTTCACGGCGCGCATAACAGAGATAAAACACCTCAATTACTGGGAGTGCTTGAAGTTCCTGAGCCTGTATTCCCTGGAATGCAGGCAGGAGAGATACATGATTATATACACCTGGAAAATCCTAGAGGGACTAGTACCGAACTTGCACACGAAAATTACTCTCAACGAAAGCAAAAGACTTGGCAGATGATGCAACATCCCCTCAATAAAAAGCAGGGGTGTCACTGCTATGTATCAAATTTCTAAATTGTTTTTTTATTACATATAGCATAGGTATTACTAATCAAGTTTGCCATCTGGCTGTTTGCCATGTACATTGTTATATTTAAACATTACTCACAAAATCATAATGACACTATTGCAAATAACTCATACATGGGTGAGGGACAGAACCCGTGGTCAGAGAGTCAAAAACTAACGTGTCAGTCTGGAGTTTTATGACTCTCTGACCGTGGGTTCTATCCCCACCCGGGGTATGGTTTATATTTAAGCAGATGATTAACATTTACTTGAGATCAAAGATTCATTTACTGTGCTTGAAAATGTTTGCTATGCAAGATATGCTTTGTTTAACCCCTTAACCCTTTCAGAGTTTCCGATGTACTAGTACGGCTTACGCAAAAGGGTTTTTGACATACTAGTATGCCTAAATTCTAGCGTCCTCAAATCTAGTGAGAGAAAGCTGGTAGGCCTACATATGAAAGAATGGGTCTATGTGGTCAGTGTGCACAGTATAAAAAAACCTGCAGCACACAGTGCGTAATGAGAAAATAAAAACTTTGACAGTGTTTCTGGTTTAAAACAGCGACTTTGCACTGTATTTTCGTGTGGTATTTATGATGGTATTCTAGTTTTCCTGGTCTCATTTTATAGAATGGAAGACATATTACAGAAATTGAGATAATTTTGATTGGTTTTACAATGAAAAGCACCTTGAAATTGAGCTCAAACTAGCAGAAATTTTCAATTTTTGCCAAACTTCAAAAGTAAACAAATCATGCTACACGTCCAATACACATCAACTGTTGAGTCTAATATTCTTTCACAAGTGCGCTGATATTATTTATACCATTTCCACACTAATGAAGTAGTTTGCATAACAGTAAATCTTCTATTTTTTGTAAGAATAAAAATTCAAAGTAGAAAGCAAAAGAATGTAAGAGGGGCGTGGGGACGTGACTAATGAACAGAGGAAATGTTATTTTAGTGCCAGAAATGTCTTTCTTGTTTATTCTGGACCCTATTTGGAAATTGGCATCTTTTGAAATTTGTGTGAAACTGGCAAAATTGCTAAATTCTGACCACTGTATTGGATAGTAGAAATTGGTAAATGGGTGGTTTCTTGTACTCATTCAACAGAAAAAATGGAGTTCTAGTGAAATAGTTATGATTTTTGTCGACTAGTACACTGGAACTGGCCGAGAATAGGGCTCAAAGTGGGCAAAATCGCCAATGCGTAAACATCGTCAAGACTGCTAACTTCGCGAGAGCATAATTCCATAAGTTTTCCATCAAATTTCATACTTTTGGTGTCATTATGATCGAGAAAAGATTATCTTTTCATAAGAAAAAATAATTTTTTTTTTTTTAAAATTTGGCGACCCTGAGAACAAGTCTCGGAGAGGGCCTGGCGACCCTGAAAGGGTTAACTGTCCAAACATGGATCTACGTTCTTACCGCTAGCTCTCCGAATGTAGATCTACTTTTTATTTTCACTGGCTTCAAATTTGGCATAAGCCTGGGTGGCCTAGACATGAGAATGGGTCTGCGCACTCAGCGTGTGCTGTATGAAAACAATTGGGGACCACGCCGTACCACATGGTAGCACCAGTGACATTCAGCTCCATCTTGGGTCAACATCATGGCATTCTTGGCATATTAACACACTCTTATTCGAGGAAAGTGATAAAGAACATGAGTTTAGTGGATTTGAGACTGATGTGGCCACTAATGATCAAGGAATTAATGAAAATATTGACGATAACCCAGATGATGAGATTGATTTTATGCTATTAGAGGATTCATCGAGTGATAGTGACATTCATTATTCCCCGAAAAATGTGTACTTTTAGGCGTCGTTGCCTACGTTCAGGCAGTGTGCCATATGCAGTCCCCAAGGGTCATGGGAAGTCATGATCCAAAACCTCGGCCACTGACAGTGATAGTGATCATGAAGGTGAATATGCTGGGATGGAGGAAGAGGAGGAGGTGGTGGTGGGTGGTATGGTGCCTGGCCCATGTGGCACAGTGGGTGGACAGACAAAGGGCCCCACAGTACCCCCTCAACCATGTGCTGCCTCTACTTCCATCCCTCCTCCTGCTCCCCCATGCCACAGGTCCACCCTGCACCATGTGACCATGAGTAGAACTGGATAGAAAGTACATTCATGCCACAGCTTTTGTATTTTGATGCCAGTGGAAGTGACATACCAGAATGTCCCACGAATGAGTCTACAGGGTTTGAATCTTTCCAGTTATACTTTGACAAGCCTATAATGAAATTGACTGTCACCCAGATCAATAATTATTGCCACTATATCATGGATAACACAGAGGTTGCAGAATCGCCATTACTGG